AAAATATTTTTCACATCGTGAATACCAAAAGTTTCATATTTCACTTGTGGCTGCGCCACTCGTGAAATATACCTTTTGGTGCTCACTCGGTGAAATTAATTCTGATCTTACACTGAACAAAACAAATATCCTCTATTTAATCATTTAATACGGACGTGTTTCACTCCCTCAACCTTCGAAAACTGGAACTCGGACGTATAGATGCTAGGTTATCCCTTCTCTATAAGATTTGCCATGGTCTCGTTGCTTTCCCTATAGAAGGATATTTGACACCCCTGTCCCGAATATCCAACATGACCATCCCTTATGTTATAGGTTATTCACAGCAACTTCAGACTATTATAAATTCTCATTCTTTTCTAGGACAGTATACCACTGGAACCACCTACCCCCTGCAGTTGCCCTTCTCCCTACCCCAGAGAAGTTCAGTGCAGCCATAGCTTGCATCAAACATGTCTCACCCTAGTTTTCCAGCTTCTGTTTTTTAACATTTTTAAATATTTTTATGCCCCTGGGCATATAGTGATTGAACCGTCCGTCCGTCTTTCCGTCTGTCCGTACGAGGTTAACCTAGAACGGCAAGTTGGATTTTTCTTAAGTTCTACCTGTACCAATGGCTTCAAAGTTTACACACTTACTAATCAACACAAAGTACATGATCTGGGCAAGTTACATAACTCTGGCTTTCATATTTACCAAGTTATTGCCCTTTTCAGCACTTAGAAAATGAATAATGGTTAACCTAAAACGGCAAGTTGGAAATATCTTAAGTTCTATCTATACTAATGGCTTTATAATTTCCACACTTACTTATCAATACAAAGTACATGATATTGCCAAGTTATATAAATGTGTCATCCATATTTCCCAGTTATTTCCCTTTTTTCACTTTGAAAATAGGGCCTTGTCTGGTTAACCTATTTCGGCAAGTTGGATTTATCTTTAATTTCTCCTAATTGCTTAATTTCTTTAATGATATCTTTCATATTTAGTAGGTGGATACCTTTGATGGTCCTCTAATTTTTTGTGGAGTAAGCGGTCTCTAGGGTCAAGGTCAAGGTCACTGGTTTAAAAAATAAATATAAACATTTTTGCTCATACAGCCTTTATATTTGATGTGATGTATTAGTTTAATACAATCCTCCTTCTTTGGGTGTAGTAAGGGGTCATTGTTAACAATGTCAAGGTCACCAATGTTAAAAAAGATTTTTACAGGTGTATTGACCTTATTCTATAGACAGATGTTATTTATAATTGATAGAACATAAACTTTGATGGAGTTAGTGGTCAGTTGGGTCAAGGTCACCAGTGCTAAAAATAGATTTTTACACATTTGCTCATACAGCCTTTATTAAGTGACAGATATATTTAATATTTGGTAGGAAGATAACTTGCATGGTATTCATCCTTTTGATTGGGGTAGGGATCAGTGGGTCAAGGTCACTTGTGCTTAAAATAGATTTTTACACTTTTGCCCATACAGCTTTTATTTATTGACAGATGTATTTCATATTTGGTAGGAAGATAACTTGCATGGTATTCTTCCTTTTGATGGAGTAAGGGGTCAGTTGGGTCAAGGTCACCAGTGCTAAAAATAGATTTTTACACTTTTGCCAATACAGCCTTTATTTATTGACAGATGTATTTCATATTTGGTAGGAAGATAACTTACATGGTATTCTTCTTTTGGATAGAGTTAGGGGTCAGTTTGGTTAAGGTCACCAGTGCTAAAAATAGATTTTTACACTTTTGCCCATACAGCCTTTATTTATTGACAGATGTATTTCATATTTGGTAGGAAGATAACTTACATTGTATTCTTCTTTTGGATAGAGTTAGGGGTCAGTTTGGTTAAGGTCACCAGTGCTCAAAATAGATTTTTACACTTTTGCCCATACAGCCTTTATTTAATGACAGATGTATTTCATATTTGGTAGGAAGATAACTTGCACTAAGTTGAATATTTTTCAACTTCACAAGTCAGAGCAATGACTTGGCAACTTATATTTTTCACAATTACAAAATGCCATGACTTTGTCAAGCTATATAACTTGTGTTTACAATTTTTTGGCAATTTTTCTGTCCATTACTGAGTGAATGGGTAAACATTTTTAGCTCGACTATTCGAAGAATATGAGAGCTATTGTAGTCGCCCCGGCGTCGGCGTCTGCGTTGGTTAAAGTTTTTTGTAAAGTCAAATATCTCAATTATTACTTGAGATATTCAATTGAAACTTACAATACTTATTTATAGTAACAAGGTACATCAGATTGACAAGTTAAAGTTTTTTGTAAAGTCAAATATCTCAATTATTACTTGAGATATTCAATTGAAACTTACAATATTTATTTATAGTAACAAGGTACATCAGATTGACAAGTTAAAGTTTTTTGTAAAGTCAAATATCTCAATTATTACTTGAGATATTCAATTGAAACTTACAATACTTATTTATAGTAACAAGGTACATCAGATTGACAAGTTGGATAACTCTCCCTACAATATTGACAGAATTATGCCCCTTTTTAACTTAGAAATTTTAGTTCAGTTTTTTGTAAAGTCAAATATCTCAATTATTTCTTGAGATATTCAATTGAAACCTACAATACTTATTTATAGTAACAAGGTACATCAGATTGACAAGTTGGATAACTCTGCCTACAATATTGACAGAATTATGCCACTTTGAAACTTAGAAATTTTGGTTAAAGTTTTTTTGTAAAGTCAAATATCTCAATTATTGCTTGAGATATTCAATTGAACTTTAAGATACTTTTTTATAGTAACAATGTACATCAGTTTGCAAAATTGCATAACTCTGCCTGCAATATTTGCAGAATTATTTGCCCCTTTGAAACTTAGAAATTTTGGTTAAAGGTTAAAGGTCTTCAAAGATATTTACTTAAAACTTTACACATGCACTTAGAGTCATAATTGGAGGTTCATAATTGTATGTCACTGACTCCATATGTTCCATAACTCTATCTTGCATTAAGGCTGATTCATATCCCCTTTTCTACTTAGTCTCTTGGTTAATGTTTACATGCAAGTTTTACATATCTCAATAACTATTAAAGATATTTATTTAAAACTTCACATATGCATTTAGGGTCATAATTGTAGGTTACTGACAGAGATCCATAATTCTATCTTGCTTCTCCCCTTTTTCAACTTAGAAATTCATGGTAAAGTTTTGCTTGTAAGCTGTTATCTCAATAACTACTGAAGGGTTTGTGCCTTTTTTGGGACAATTTTATGCATTCATATTAATAAAGCAGTGATTTACTTGATAAAACATCTTAATAACAAGCCTTTGTACCTTTTCTGTCAAATTTATGTATTCATAAATAATTAGTATTATTATACTCAATGAAACACCCTTGTGACATTACCTTCCGAATAGTCAAGCCAATACTGTATAATTAGACTCTCACTAAGGCCAATAACATGAATTTATAAAAAAAAATTAGCCCTTTTGTGAACTTAAAAAATTTAACATTATCAAGTCTCTTTTACTATCAAGCACTTAGAATAGTCGAGCGTGCTGTCCTACCGACAGCTCTTGTTTGAAATATTGCTACTGACAAGAATCTGAGCCGGGGGCATTTGTGTTTAACAAACACGTTCTTATTTTATCCTCTTTTAAACAACTCTTTTTAACCCTTTTGCTATTTTTGACGCGCAGATATGTCTACGTCCCTGAGAGGGGTTTGACATTAAAGAAAGATAGATAAATAATATTGTAAGCTTAGTCAAAAACTGTTAAAATTACCAAATTTTATTGATAAAAAGTTAATTCCACAATTTCTGTATTCAACTGTGAAGAGCACTAAATTTGCTATATTTAACAATAGAAAGTTCCACAAAATGCTCATGTCACTAGTTTTCACGACTGTCAGGATTTAAAGCCAAAACGCAAACTGAACACATCCTGTCATGGCTACTTATATAGACTCTGACATAGCCAGGATTGTCATAATTGACCAATCATAACATTCCATTGCCCTGACCGTCTGGTAAGAAAGACAGGAATTTCTTAAAATGGCAGCCATATTGACAGGAATAATTTAGAAAATGTAAATTAACAAAGTTAACAAATAACAAAATATGCAATGAACACTTGAATTACATGCTAAACTTAATGCTTTTTAAATCAGGACCAAAAACAAACATGGTTATAGCTTAAAAATATGAACTATTGATATAAAAAGATTCAAAGTGCCAGGAATTTGAATTTTCCCTCCTGACAAACTTGGAGGTCATACTGGTATGAAATACAGCAATGCCAGCTAAATATTTGGAAAGTAACTTAAGTCTTAGGTAAATAAGGATTGCATTCCATGTTCTTGCATGTAAAATGATAAGTATTTGTATATGTTATGAAAATAAATGCATTTAAAGTTTTGAATAAAGGAAGACAACTCTTATCGGCCATTTTGATGCCAAGATAAACAAAGTAGATAAATAAATCATTTCTTGAAGTATTATCCTCCTTATAGTGCTTTATTTCGTCCTAGAGCCTCAGAATGTCCTATATCATGGTCTTAATTCCTTTATTTACCAGAAAATTATCTTAACAAATAAAGTCAGCAAATATGAATGGCTGAGGCAAGTTCAGGAATCCTGACAGGTAAGTGTTAAGCATTGACTGAGCATTATTACCTCATTTGTCAATAATAATCTTGGTTTGATGTTCATATTGTCATAAAACATTATTTGTTTTCAACTGATATATTTATTATAAGGTCCTGAAAGTAAATTATTTGATAAACATTTATAGTCCCTTACACTATGATTGCAGAAGAAAAATATTTAGTGGTGTTTTACTAATCATGCAAAGTAATTAGTGTTGTTCTACCTGCTCATGTATTCTTCAAAGGGAGGTAATTTGACAACAAGGAGACTGAAATCGCAAAATCGAAGTAAGAAATTGATAAGTTTATTTCACTGAAAGACATGGAATGATATGCTGAGGAGCTAAATTTTCAAAACTGTTTGGGCTTATTTTCAATCGTAACTCAAGTATGCAATGATTTTTACTTCAACAACTAAAGTGAAAATTCAACTTTTTTTCTGGATCATGGATGATGTGGCTTTTAGTTTTACCAGTTTACAGTTTTCTTTTAGTTTATTTATGATCTAGAATCTACATGTATTTTGTATAAATATTTTGTACAAAATATTACTAAGCCCAAAACATTTGGAATGTCACAGGGCGAGAGAAATGTGCAGCCTGACCGGTACTTGAACCCAGGACCCACAGAATACCATACTGCGGCTCTACCGACAGAGCTATCTGGCAGTATATACATCTTCTCCCATAAATAGTGAACAGTTCTGAACCGTGACATACTCCCCTGCTATATTGAAATTCGTCCTCGAATTTCACAGAGTTAAAGAGCAATGTAAATTCAAGTCTGTGCTATATACAGTCACGGCCCCTGTTGGGCGCGAAATGTCACAGGGTGAAAAAAATGTGCAGTCTGACTGGGACTCGATCCTGGGACCCTCTAAATACCGTACCGGGTTCTCTTTTGAATGAGTTATCCGGCCACTTACACACCTCCCCTAAATAGTGAACAGTTCTGAACCTTGACAGGAATAATTGTGAATTTGTGAACCCAGCCTTTCAAATTGTCACATCTTTTTTGGCATACATGCCATAACGTCCTGGATGCCCGGGATTGTCCCGGAAATCGGATGTCTGTCCCGGAGATGTCCCGGGCATCGATTTGATCCCGGAAAAAAAAATCATGATATTTTGCAAAATTTTCTTAAATCAAATCTCGCACATTTCACCTCTAGATCGTAAAACATAATCTGACCTGGTACACATAATACACAGGAACGTTGACACTTACAAGTTTACAATATACAGCCCCCCAATTATCGACTGTCGATTCCCCTCGGCAATAGATTCTTCATGCATCGGCAATTAACATTCTCTGTTGAATTCGGCAGCGTTTAATGGTCGGGTTAATTAATTGTTTACGGCCCTAAACAATTATCGTTAATCCCCGATAATCATTAATTTTTAGATCAATCGCTAACTTGCCGAAAGTCTAATTATTACAAACAATGTAAATATATCTATCAAATAAAAAAATTAAAGGTGTCAAATAAATCACCTTGCTGTGTTTGTTTTTATGACTGGAAGAATTGCATTACGTGACATGTAGTAATTATCATGACTTTAAGATATAACGGGTGAACAACATGGCTGCGCCCATTCACCGGGTTTATAACTTACAACTTACTTGCTTTTAGGGAATAATAAATTAAATAAAGAAATACTTTTAAAATGATAAATATGTCGACCTAAAAGACAACTTATAAAACTAGTAAGTTAACTGTTTATCATTAAAATTCAGGAGAAAGTCGTCCTAATTTAATAACGTTATACGATTGACACCCCCCCCCCCCTTTCCACAACTGCCTACACATCCATTATTGCCGCGATGAAAAGTGTCCCGGAAAGCTGTCCAAAAATTATGGCATGTATGTTTTTGGTAAGCGAACAAATTCATCCAAAGTTTGTTTCCCCACCCATACAATACTTCGCAAGATGTAAATAATTGTGTTTGGGTTTATTGTTGATTTTATTTCATTTCTAAGATGTTTATTTTATTTCATTTCTGAACAGAATGTAAATTGACACTGTTGTTTTGAGTCAGTCAAGAAAGCAGAAAGACAAGTCAAGATGATGGCAACAATGGATTTAGGGGCCCAAGGGGTCACAGAAGAGGTACATGTGTAGTTCAAACTTTGATGTATAATTAAAGACATTCACTGATTCACTCCTTTGAATTTAAGTAGAGAATAAAAACAAACTTTCACTTTCTGCATAGTAAAAAGAACCAAGCTAAAGTGATTAGCCTTTGCCACCATGCAGTATTTAATTCATCATTTCTTATATTTAATTATTTGAAAAGCAAGAAGATGTGTTGTATTTGTAATCTGGGGCTTGCTGGTCCACTCCTTGGGTGAGACATAATTTCTCCATGATAATTGAACTTGGACATCATTTGTCAGACTTTTTGTCCCTCTCTTCTAATATCTAAATCATGTGGTATCAGTAGTCAGTCACTTGCAGAGAAACTGATTATAACTGGTAAGTTATCCTAGAAAGCCAGTTACATGTAGGTGGATCAACCACTGAGATATGATCAACAAAAAGCATTTGTTAAAATCTGTGTTAAAATCCAGGAAAAAAAAAAGAAGAAAAAATATCAAAATTTCGAAAGTGAATGAAAACATTGTCAAGTGTACAAACAAAGCAATTTAATTAAGCCAAAGGCTCTTTTTATTTGCGAAAATTATATGTAAAGAATAAGTGGCACTGCAGTTTTAAAGAATTAAAAAAATACATCAAGGACTTACTTGTTTACAATATTTTGTCATACAAACAGATAACCGAGTTGGCAGAGTATATAAAGGAAAGGATATGGCAGGATCCACTTGCGGCTGATCTTCAGTGGAGTTTATTCCTCGCTGCATTGAAAAGTTACAGATTTGATTCGGTTTTACGACCGTTCCCACCAATGTTCATTGGCGAGGATGATGAGAAAGACTTGAAAGCACTGGTAGATTTTATGCTTTTTATAGGCTCAAAAAAATTTCAGTGTAAAATATAGTGCACCTGGCCGTCTGTCTATCTGTCTGTTTGCAATTTCATGTTCGCTCTATATCTTTTTAACCAATTGCCTCCGTGTTCGAGGGGTTAGAGTCGATGATTTCTAATCCAGTTACCTCTCTGGGGTGGGTTTGATCCCCAGGAGATGCTTTGGTAGTTTAGTGCGGAAGGAGGTAGTCTAGTACTGGTGTAACTCTCCAGGAACAATGGTTAGGAAACTACCCGCCTATATGACTGAAATACTGTTGGGAAAAGGCGTAAAATGAAACAAACAAACAAAACCAATTGAAGGAAATCAAAACAACCAATTAAAGGAGATCAAAATTACTTGGCAAAAATATTCACCATAATAAGTCCATGAGCAGAGCAAAGATTTTGGTTTCCTCTGATCAAGTTTAAGGTCACACTCAGTCACAATCAATCAAAATAAAGTCATATAATTTCAGTGGGCAAAATGTTTGAAGTTTTCAAAATGGAAATGTTTCTTTCAAAAAACATCTCCACTAATAACTCGCACGCATTATGATATTATTATACATGTATAAATATTTCTTGAATATTTTTTTTCTTTGTAGGAAGCTTTGTTATTTATATGTAGCATGTATATACCTGTATATTATATTTATAGCATTCAGTAGTGAATGATGTTCCAGCTTTATCAAGACTATCAAGAGAATGTTATAAACAACCGACAAAACTTCTGGAATTGATAAAATGGGTTCTTGATGCAAGAGGTTTCACATTGTCATCTGCTGGCAAAAACAAGGTTAGTAGTTATTCTGATAAGTTTTAATAAACATTGAAGCTATGTCTTAATTTTCAACAATCTTTATCTTGTATTCAAAATTTTGTTGTCCCCCGCCTTTTCGAAGAAAAAAGGGGGATATAGAAATAGGCTCCGTCTGTCCGTCCGCACTCACAGGAGAGTAATTATGTGGCTAGAGGGACAATAGGTAACTGTTCTTTCTCTTTGATGTCATTCATTCCGTAATGCTTTTGTTTTTTTATGTCTAATTTCTTTTGGGTGGCTAAAAAGAATCAAATAGAGAGAACAATAGAGTAGCCACATAATTACTGTTCCTGTGAGAACTTTCGTCCTGTTCCCATTTCCCGTCCGTCACACTTTCGTGTCGGTCCATAACTTTGTCATTTAATAAAAGGAATTTGAAATAAACTTGGCAACAAATGTTATTATAATAAGACGATGTGTCTGCGCAAAACCAAAGACCCCTACCTCCAGGGTCAAGGTAACACTTGCTTCATTCAAAGTAAACATTGCCTATTTGGGGTTTATATCTTTCCGGTCCATAACTTTTCTTTCTATGAAAGGGATTTTGGGTAAATATTGCCAATAATTGTTTAACAAAATTCAGACGATGTGTCATGCGCAAAAACAGTCCCCCTACCTTCAAGGTCAAGGTCACACTTTATAGTTATTTTATTAACATAGTCCTGTTTACAAGGGTAATATTTGTGGTCCGCCCCATAACTTTGTCATTTTATCAAAGGAAATTTTGAAATTACTTGGCAAAATCGTTTGTTATAATAAAACGATGTGTTCATGCGGGTGAAAACAACTAGAACCCGTAATTCAGGGTCAAGGTTTCGTAATTGCCCCTTCATTAAGGTTAAACAATTGTCTATTTGAGGTAATGTTCCGGTCCGGTCCATAACTTTTTATCTTATGAAGGGATTTTGTAAATACTTTGCCATAAATTGTTCACACAAAATCAGAACGATGTGTCCATGGCGCAAAAACCAGTCCACCATAACCTTCAAGGTCAAGGTTTCAACTTTGGAGGTCAAATATTAACATAATCTTGTTACAGGGTATATTTTGTGTCCGGGTCCATAACTTTGTTCATTTTAAACTCCAAGGAAATTTGAGCTACTTTTGGCAAACAAATTTTGTTAATAAGACATGTTTTCCATGCCAACAAAAGACCCGTACCTTCAGGGGTCAAGGTTTCGTAACTTGCTCATTCAAGTCAACTTGGGTTCTATTTAGGGGTATAATGTGTGTCCCGGTTCCATAACTTTCTTTATTTGAAGGACTTTTTGTAAAAACTGGCCATAAATTGTTCACAATAAATCACCTACCTCCAAGGGTCAAGGTCCACACTTGGAGGTCAAAATACTTACATGTCCTGTTTCAGGGTAAATTTTTGTGTCCAGGTCCTAATAACTTTTTCCCATAAGATAAAGGATTTTTGGAAAATACTTCCCGCAACAAATATCACATATATAAGAGGATGTGTCATGCGCAACATGCATCCCACCTCCAAGGGTCAACAGGCACACTTAGAGGTAAAAAAATTAACATAGTTTTTTAGGGTATATTTTTGTTCGAATCTAGAACTTTCTTCAAGCAAGGGATTTTGAAATAACTTGGCACAAAATAGTACAATAATAACCCGATATGTAGGTACCACCCCTCCACCCCTACCTCTTAAGGTCAAGGCCACAAACTTAAAAGAGGTCAAAGGTTAAACAGAGTTCCTGTTATTTGGTTTATATTTTTTCCCGTCCATTACTTCCTTCATAGATTAAGGGATTTTGAAAAAAATACTTGGGGCCACAAATAGTCCCACAATGATTAGATTTGATATGTCATGCGTTAACATCTGTGTCCCTACCCTCCAAGGTCAAGGTCACACTTCGAGGTCCAAAGATTTTTATTGTCTGTTATAAGGGTATATTTTGGTCCAATCTATTAACTTCTTCAAAGTTCAAGGGATTTTGAAAATTACTTGGGCAACAAATAGGTTTTTTTTTTTTTCTCAAATAATAAGACGTTATATGTGTCAAGCCTCAACACCCTGCTCCCCTACCTCCAAGGTCGAAGGTCACACCTTAGAGGTCAAAGCTTTAACATGAATAGATTTTTAAATTCGTTGTCATTTTTTTTTTTAACAAATTTTTATTGTTAATTTGCCCGATCTATTCATTGATCTAATTTTGGACCTGAATGTCCCTGAGATCCATACCTAATTTTTCGAAATAGAAAATTTTTTAATGCTTTCATAATAAAACTTCCCCGAGGCGGGGGACGTTGGGTAAACTCCCTTTTTTTTACAAATTCTTGTTTATAAAACGTAGTACAGTACAAAGCTTTATGTTGTTTTAAATATATTGCCATGTTGGACTTCTTGTATATTGGGGAAATAACATAAATCAATTAAAACATTTCAGTACGAGGAAATCGCAAGTTAACCGGTCCAAACTGTTAAAGTCCAAACCTAAAAATTCATATTTTTGAATTCACCAAAGTGCCGTGCAGATGAAAAAATTCCCATACCACCGAAGGTGAACCGAAGTTTTTATTGTAATGCCAATCACGGGATCTTCTGGATAATTTCTTTACTCTATTTTCTGCAAAAATGGTCTTGCCTCACTATTGAACAAAGTAAGTTTTCTCATGTAATAACATTCAGGCTGAAACGATTATAGTTTTACCTTTCTAACGGAGCTTGCCCTTATAGAACAATAGTTTTAACCTAAGTGGATCTTGCCCTTTGTAGAGCAATCAGGTCTTTGGCAACAACAGAAATCAATTTCTTCCCAAAGTAAAGACTTCACAAATATTTAAATCCCTATAGCAACACCCCTCGGATTAGCAACCAAAGTCTTTGTTTGCTCTCTCAAGAGGTGTTCTTTTTAAAAAAAAAAACGTCATTGCTTTCCACTGTTCAGATTCAACTTTCAGTTTGTTATAATGGAAATTATATTAAAGGATATACGAGGGTTGTTTCAAAAAGTAATAGAACTGTAGTTTCTTAACTGTTGAAATTTTTTAATTTACGTGCACAATTTTACAAGATAATAATATCGGAACATATCCTCTATATACAGTGAAAAAATCAATAAAATATGTTTTTTCTTGTATTCTTATTGTAATCAATATACTAGAGTAAACAGGCATGAACTTATGATGTTAATTAAAAGTGTTTAATAGAATTAATTTACACATATCATCATACATTCTTACAACAATGTGATTATGTAAGTAAAATAACAATATTTATCAACTGAAAAGTATATTTGCCTAGTGGGAACAGAGTATCATTTTTAAAAGAAAATCGGGGGGAAAATATTAATTATTACCATTAATCATTATTACATTAATTTATTGATAAGACGTATACCAAGTTAAATGAAATAGAATTTTGTTTGAATCAAGTCATTTGGGCAGAACTGAATCAATAGACCCGATGCAGAAATCAAACTTGTCGGACAGTTTGTGGACTGTTTACCGTAGGGGTGTCATCGACTCAATCGATATCGGTGTATCAACGATCTTTGTTATCCGATTCGATATTGATTCCATTTTATAAATATCGATATCGAATGCACATATAATTTCTAGCTAAAGAACTTCAGCGAACAGGTTTTATAGAACTGACAGAACCTTTCACTGTCGCAAAACATCAAAATAAAAGCGACATTTAAAGTTATGAATGCCAGAATCAATTTTTTTCTAAAATGAAAACGGAAATCAATGCCAAAGTTACCTCCCAGTGTCTCTAACGAATGCTGCCTAATTTGCGTTGTAATCTCGCACGTCGCTTAAGTGGATGTGTAGAAATGTCAAGAAATTTGTCAGTGTTTCTTTTTAAAAATATTATGATTCAAAATGTTTTAAACTTTAATAGTTTATTGCTCGGCCCGGTGAATTTTCGTAACTATTAGTTCTATAGTAAATCAGTCAAATTTTGGAGTTTTAATTCTGGATTCCAATGTTTCTTGATGAATTATATATGTCTTCACTTTAAACATTAACACTATTCTAAGTCAAGTGATGCCCAAAATATAATAGGTTAGCATCTACTTTTTCAGAAATATCTTCATTTGTTTGTAACACTGTTTAAAATTCACCACTTTAAAACTCCTGACAACTGATTGGGTAGTACATCTTTAATCTATCCACCAACAAATGAGTTCCTGGAGAATACACAAAAAACAACTTTTAAAGTCATCATATAACACAGCAAACTACACACATGCAAAAATACACTTTTAATTATGAACAATCTAACTATAGAGAATGACTTAAATTCTGGGCCATTTCATAATTTTTAAAGAAAACTACCGCCCAGTATGGTTTAACGGTATAGAAACAACACAAATATATGAGTTTTGTAGTTTATTATATTGCCTAAAGAATTCGGCAACAAATGGCGTACATTAAGTAAAGGGGAACAACCTTTCACAATAAAGTTCTGTAATGTCCTACATACCGCGCTGACGAACCGTACTGATACACATGGCGCTACCCCTTTCTT